AGTAGATTCAGTTAAAAACATACCAGTCAGGAATGTCTGTAATGTCATGCATTGCAAGTATGTTAAGTACAGGATTGTGCGCGACGCACGATTTGTAGAAACCCTACAAAAACCATATCTTTTTCTGTTACTAAAATTTGTAAGCAGAGAAGTAAAAAATCGCACCGGATACTGTCCAATCAAATGAGAGACAAGGAAACCTCCGTGAGATGCTCCGTAAAGCACAATCCGATCCCGATCTAGGCGAGGTTCAGCATCCAAGACTGTCACAACTGCGTGCTACAAAACATATTTGTTAATAATACAAAAGCAGCGATAATAGATAGAAATACTTACATGCATATCTTTGACATCTAGCTCGCCACATCGACCAGGCAAGGAGCGAACAAACTTGTCTCCAAAACCAAGCTGAAGTTAAAAAGTTGAGGACGTGATCCAAAACAACCAGCATCTTTTCTCTCTGCACACTGAACACCTACTCTTCGAAGCTCCCGTCCCACAGCAAATCAACGCCAATATATGTATTTGCCTAATTGAAGGTTCATCGAAATTATGTAAACAAGCGCTCTCCTAATGTGCTACGAACACGCGCTACATCAAAAATTAAGAACGCTTGATTATGTGAAATAATAATATCGGACACAAACTGCTTTCTGGCCAATTCGTCAAAACATTTTGGAGACATGAAAAACTGGAAAAATATCCTAGTTGGGAACTGTATACTTCCGCAAAAATATTATTCTACACCTTATATAATAAAATGGCAGAGGGAACCATTAGCAATATGAAAGTACTATTCAAATGATGGAAAATGAATAAAATAACAAAAATACTCTACTACTCCTATGTGATCCAGAGCAAGAAAGCCTTGAAGCATAATGCCTATAAGATAGCAAGTGAATGGTTAACATAAGAAGAGTGATATAGAAGCTTGTTAGTAGGGCGACAAAGCTCAAGAAAAACTAAATAAATTAAAAGAGAAGTATACGCAAGCATTGTATGAGTCCAATTGAGGGATGATTCATAAAAGCATGACAGGCACGTATAGAAGAGCTAAACACGGTGTCCCGTGAGGGAGAGCGAGTACTCTAGCGCACTGTCAGAAGAAAAGCAGTGTTTATAATATGCAACACTCCTGCCACCAAGGGCAAACTTGGGAAGACGCTAAAAAGACCGCAAGAAATAAGTGAAAGCCAAGAGCATACCTAAGAGATGTAATTTCACCAACACTAGTCCAGCCATCCGTTCAATTAATCCTGTGAAAAAACCAGTGCCATTCACTAACGAAAAGTAGTGGTTTGCTATGACAAAGACAATGAACGGTAAGCTTACTGGTCCAGATAAAGTGAATCTGGAGAGAATGAGAGGTTTTGTGATTCTTGGCCTTTCCTTCAATCTGGTCATTAACCCACTTGAACGCGCATATTTGTGAGAAGCATGGGACTAAGGCGCTTTATCATTTATTTTTTGATTGAGCGCTTGCAAATTTTGTTTGATAGTTCACCTTTTTGTTAAATACGTTAGAAATACATGAAGTTCAAAGGGATAGAGCAAAAAGTATACCCCATGACTGGCCAAACAGCGGCAGT